AAGGCATGCATTATTCATAAGGCGCTAGCCTGAATAGCGTCATTGCTTTAAAAACAAAATTAGAGAAGTAACGTGAAAAGAACCACAAACCAAAAGAATTTATTTGTACATATGTTATTTCATCACACTTACTGACTTCAGTTTAGCGGAAAGGTCGAAAGTATATTTTTCAAAATGTTTACTCTTTAAGGGGGTCTATTGTTTCATATATATTTTTATGTTCGTAAAATCTGTTATGTAATTGTAAAAGTGTAGTAGAAATTTCATGCATAGGCATAGTATCATATAGCATAGGAAACTAAGACAAATTTTGAGGTAGAACGTAGCAGCAACCGCGGAACCAACGTCCCACATAACAAGGTAAGCGGACACTATAACTGTAAATATAGACTAACACTAATAGAATAAGGAAAAGTAAGTTGCCGCGGGAATGCAATAGTGCTTCCGTGATTAATATAAATGTAGCAGTTGATAATAAAAATAGCATTATAGATAATTAAAGGAAGCGCACACGCAATATAGAAAGAGTCGAATCTAGACCACGTTGTGTGTGAAGTAAACACGGCTCGTTACAACTGGTGGCAGCGGTAAACTGCATGATCTCGACTGCAATTCTTCCGGGAAAATTTGATGATGACGATAACAGAAGAACATTTATCAAAAGCATCGGAAAAACAGGCAAGGCTCAATTAACTGACAACTACTTCGCAGCCTTTCGAATCGGGCGAAACGGTCATGTTGAAAAGACCGAAAGGCTGGAAGTTTGGACATAGATGGGTGGGGCCTTATAGAATCCTATAGTGGGCTGGGGTAGACTATCGTATTGTTTCAAAGGAAGGGAAGGTGATGGTTTAGCCTTACAAATTTGAGCAACTGGCAAATAGCGAATATGAGGAAGAGGAAACGGACGAAGACGGTATTCATCGGGAAACGTTTGAATTGAGATTTAAGTGAGATTTACCTGTTAACTCATGGTAAGTAATTTCATGAAAGTAATAATATTCTAGGCTGTTTAACTACAACTTATTCCCCTTATTCGTCTGTATATTTTAAGGTGCACATGCGCACATTGCAGAGTAAAGCTGTTACAAGACGCCAAAGAATATCGATGTTGCAAAGAAATTCTCGAGTGCACGGGCAAGTTTACGTATGAGGGCAAGGACGTTGCATGCATAACACAAGATTGGGATTATGCTGTGGTCACACACCGGACAGTGGTAGAGACGGCAGGAGCTTTTCTCTCCGACAAGTCGGGGAAAAATATCATAAGCCAACAAGCGGGACAAAAGATCGGCAAAATGAGTATGCACATTTTTGCACAACATTGCTATTTTAATATGTCCTCATATGTACAAATTAGTACTGATAGGTCGAAATACCGAGTCCTCTATCGATTTCGGCTATGCGCAAAAAAAATATGTAGCATCCTTGGTATTCGCAAACGTGGAATTAATGACGCACTGCTTGATTATTTAGGCATCGAGCGGTGGCGTATAGATGGGTGGTGAGATGGATATTTGGCATGCTGGGTTGGGAAAACTCTAGACCGCTTCCAGCCTGCCTGTATAATGAAATAAGGAAAAGGTTTTCATGTTCAAGTACCACTGGATATAAAGAATCAACGCAGAGAATTTGATGTGAACATAGAAATAGAGCAATTTTTTTGAATGGTAGAAATAATTTAGAAATGATGAAGTATCATTTAAATGATTTTAAACTTTACATGCATGCGCGTATTTACCGTGCGAAAACGCACGACTGCGCGGCAACAATCGTTATTTATTTTCTATCCAACGCGATCGAGCAAATACTGTGTTTGTGGAGGTCCTGGATTGCGCAGTTGCACAAATACCTATCACACTGCAGGAATATCAATGCACAAGTTTCCTGAGAACGAGGAAAAGCGAAAAACTTGGATAAAACTTGTGCGAAGACACCTCCAAATTTTGTTCCAAGGAAATCATCAGTTATAGTTCGGCGAATTTTGCTTTACAAAATGGTTCATGTTGGCGTGCCAAACCAAAAGCTAGATATCTAGGGTCTGTTCCAACTAAGGATTGTTTCATCCTAGATGAAAATCATGAAATGCCAACTACTTGACGCGCTAAAGGAAAGTGAGGCTTTTTTTCAAATAACTTGACAAAAAATAATTGAAAAAGATTAAATTAGATAAAATGCTCTCCCAAGAGACAGCATGCGAAAGTACGATTCTTTCTGACAACCCAAATCTGCAAAAAACAACGCTTTTTGAAGAGAAAACGGAAAATAACAGCACTAAGGAAGAAGAGTAAAACCCTCAGGTTTTCAAAAGGTTGGTTCTAAGGTTACATGATTACTGTGAAAGTGAGACTACACTCTACATGATTATTTTATGGCTTGTTGAAGTGAGTTCTTCAGAATAAGCTACTACAAATATTTTGTTATTTTTTATAAACTAAAATTTCACTAAGGAAATTACAATTTTTTTCTAAAATCGTTGAATCTTAGCGACAAGAGACGTCCTCCAGTTTATCTGAAGAAAAGAGTAGAAGTAACTACGATTCCGACAAAAACAAAACTGGTGAAGATATAGGCATCTTGGATGAGGCTTGGGATGATAAAGATGGATCACAGGCAAACAGCTCTGAAGGTGGATTGATTGATAATTTTAAAGATCCAGATTGGAATGCCAATATGGATGAAGGATGAAGAAACAGACTCATCAGCTGATGATGAGCTCGAAGACGATGGAAAAGAAGTACGAGAGGGCACATTACAAGATGCAAGGTAGGTTTTTATATACACGCAGCGTCAGTGAAGAAGGTTCTAAAAGCTAGCAAGGTAAAGGGTGGTGAAATACTAGCAGAATGGGATAAATCCATCAAGAATCATTTATACTGGTGTACAACATCTACCAAAGCTGGGATTTTATCTCTCACAGAGGCAAAGTGGTTGTCATTTATGAGGCATGTGAAAAACACGTAGAAAAACAGAAGGCTAGAAGGAGCTTTGCCGTTAAAGACGTACAGTAGCATCTACAACGCCAAGTAGGTACATTTAAAACACTATTCATACGATTGTTTCTAATCAATTAAACCTATTTGTGGTAGATAGATTAAGGGTATGATCAAAACTGTAAATGTAATAATGTTTGTAATAAAGTTGAGAACCGAACTGATTGTAAAAATGACATAGCCGATAAACACAATGTTCAAAAACAAAGAGCGGGGAGAGTTAGCAGTAGAAACACAAATGCGATATAGAAGGAACCTTGTTGTTGAAGACGTACCATCAACAACGTCAAGTAAGTACATTTAAATAGGTAATTAAACTTATTTATAACGAGTTTTATATTCTTTAGTAGTTCTTGCAACAAGAATAAGCTGTAAAATAATGATTGTAAAATATTAGCTTTTTATTTGAGGCTGGTTAGCCCTTTTTTAGACGACAGACGTTGAACTTTTCAGAGTTTTCCAGTGCTCACGATTTGACCAATTTCTGCCAAATTTGAGCACGATAATTATATAATAATGTTCCTGATTTGTAAGAATAAACATGTTCTGATAAATAGTGTAGAGGTAGATAGCTTTCAAAGAATGAGTGAGCAATACAATTGCATGCATGTGCTATCTGGTGATTTTTTCAGACTTATCGTATTGAACGTCAACTGTTTCGATTCGAAAGCAGCGTTTCATTGACTCCTTAAGAGCAGCCTGTGGAGAAGGGACATTCTTATTGGGGCCTCACGTGACGTCAGTTGTCGTTCATTCCTACGCCTGCTATCTAAAAGAAGACTTCTCGCAACAAGAGAATAAAAGAGTTTTCCATGAATCGCGTTTCACGCATGCATTTGTTGCCATACACACTCTACATACCCTCAAGGTATCAAAACATTCCACAAATCCACCAATAGAGTGGGCACCAAGGTTGTCACAGCTGAACGGACCAATAGTGCCCTTAACTACTCGATCAGCTTTTGTGTTAAGATTATTTGAACACTTTTCTGTGTATATACCTTGTAAGTAACCAAGAGCATGCATTGTGGTAACATAATGTTTCCAACATATATTGAATGTTATCGGAGGTTTTAATTTTACAATGCATTATTTAGGTACCCGACAAGGGACCAAATTACACAAATATGCCAACAAATTGTAACAGATTATCCATTTCTGCAAGATAAAGGCATTGGATCTGGCCATAACCTCTATTATTTCTTATCCAATAGTAAAACAATTGTTAAAAAATCATTCACATTTAAATTACCTTAATATATGTTTAGGATTCTTGGTATTCTCAAATTTATGAGAAATTTAGAGATGAAAGAAAACATGCGCAGGATCCACAGGTCCTTCAAAGAAAGAGAAAGTCGGTGGATGGCGACATCAAAACTGTAAAGAAGTCTCTTCGAAAAGGGGGGATAAATTGGGAGTCAGCCTTTCCTGAGGGAGAAGATGAGGCATCCATGAAAGCCCGTGTTCTGTCCATAAAAGAGCGAGTCCCGCAAGAGGAATCCTGATGCAGGAAAAATCCAATCAAGAATGGCCATCACTTTTCCCCACTGGAGGAGATTTATAAATGAAAAAAACCCTTTAGCTGAGATTAAGCAGGAATATCCAGCACTTTTCTCAAACAAAGAGGAAAGATGATATTCAATTACACTGTATACATAGAAATTTATATATGATTGTTACAATTATTGTTTAATTATTTAACTTTAAAAGTATTTCCTTTCACAAAATGAAATCAGAATTGAAAAAGGATTCAAAGGTGAATGTTCAATCTTATTTAATATGTCATTTGTACAGCAAAATATATCAGGCTTTAATAAAAGAAGTTTTTACAAGACAGTTTGGTTTCTGCCAAATTAGATATATAATATAATACTGCACAGACTCATGTGTTATAAATTTTTAGATTGTTGCAGAATTGAGAAGATTTTGGCTGTTGCATCAAGCATAAAAGATACCTTCAAAGCCAACTTTCTCCAAATGAGCAACAAGATCATAATGCTTGCCAAAATGTCAAAGAAAGTAAAGTGCTATGAACAGATAGGGCAGTATCTCAAGTTGCTAGAAACTGACCCTAATTGTGACCAGGATGTTGAAAATTCAGATGGTAAGTCTATATATCAAATATTGTAGTCCATAGTCCATTCATCTATGACATATATCTGATATTAATTCTCTTTGACTTTGATATAGATAAAATATCAGATGTTGCCCTGGTAGTAGCTGCCCTGCTGTTGCAGAAGTCTGGTAAAAACGACCTAAGCAGCATCATCCAGTTCATCCCAGTAAGTTATTCCAGAAATGTTTTCACTATACTGTTTGCTTCTAGTACTTTTGTACAATTTTTACAACAGCATAAATTGGATTTATATTTATGACAGATGCTAAGCGAGACTCTTCCATTTCGATTCTTTGCAGGAAGGTTCGAATTTTGAAAAGGCTGCCAGTGAAACGCAAGAGATGCATCCAAAGATATTGGTCAAGGGAAGCATTGAGGACATTGGGGAAAAGGCTGTCGTAGCGGAGAGGATAGTGGTATGCAAAGTGCAAGGGATGTTGCTCGACGCAATTGTTGCGTATATGGCCGTGATGTATTGCTTTTATGTTCGAGTATCCAGTAGGATTAAGTCACTTTTGTTTATTCTTACAAAAATGTGTTCTGCACATCCATGATGGGAAAAAACTGCCTAGTTCAGTTTTAGACTTTATTAACAAATTGAACACTTTAGCTACCGTATGGTCTGATATTCATGTATACATGTATACAAACACATTGAACAACGCTTTAATAGAGGTATTTGTCGAACAGTGTTTTGGCAGCGGTTCTAACTTGTCTTTATATCCCTTCTCCAACTAAAAGCATTTTGTTTAGCCCCTGGGAACGTTATCTTTATTAGTTTATTTACCTGCCGGGAATTCAATTATTACAGTTGCATATAGAGAAAGGTAAAGGCTTTGACCAAATTGATCATAAATATCCGATGTTGGACAAGTCGTTGAAAAGTCATCAATTGCAAATCAACGAAAGTTTGTTGAACGAATACGAAAAATTGAACCGCTCTTGAAAATTGAACCGTTTTTGTGCTACGAACCATCTACACCGCACTACTAGACGTTTTTGGCAAGCTATATTTAAGTGTCACTTGGACTACACAAACGATAATATAAATAAAGATTTAACTTATATATTAATTTTTCTTCTAAGGTTCATACTAATTTCACAATGCTTAGGCCCTAATATGGAGTCATTTTCGCTGGCAACAGCATTCACTGTGGCTCAGTTGCTGAGGAATGTTCTCAATCCTGACGTTTCGAAATCATATGCGTCTATTTATTTCATTATCCAATAGGATTAGAAATTGGTCAATTCGAAACCGAAAGTAAGGAGTTTTTCAAGGAGTTTTTCAAATATTTGATGAACTCCGTAAGCAAACCAATAAATTTGAGCAAATGAGTTAGCTGATATTTTTCGGAATATTGCCCCGACTGTAAAAGCTATACTTTTACAAGTTGTATTTGTTATATGTTATATGTTTATGTAACTCGTGGGCCGAGTTACAAGAACGGGTGACCGTCACAAGAACTTAACCCAAATACTGCATTTCCGATTGTGTCGCACCGTATATCACTGATATATTGTCATTGATACTCATAAGTCTTATAATTAATATTTAGCTTTCGAAATCTGTTTAATTTGTAGATTAGTAGGGAGAGTTATTAGATTTAATTACGTCAGCTGGAACGACGAACGCGACGAACAAGCCAAGTTTGACGACAAACAGCTAAAGGTGATGCGATAGTTCATGCAAGAAAACATGGTATATTTTATTCTACTGTACGTAAGAAAAAACAATTTTCATAACGTTCAATATGGGTTACAAACGTCAGCTACGTCAATTGAAACATAAGTTGTATTAGGCTACTATCATTTCAAAATCCAGGACCAATATATGTTATTGTTATATAGGGTACTTTGCTTGTCTGGGCGATTAAATACTTGGAGTTATTATGGGCCGAGGTGGTTGAAAACGCACGAGAAATTATCGAAAAAGTCGTGCAAGGGATTTTCGATGAAAATGAACAAAAGGTGCAGGCCAGGTGGTTGTTTGGTATTGCAGCTGTACTTGTCGCGAATGCTTTGGTATGTAAAACTCAAACAACTTACACAAGAAATAATAGGAAGACGCAAAAAATATGTCGGACTAGTTTCAATAATAGTGGAAAACAAGCGAACATGAAAGATTACGTGTTGTTTGCATGCGGCGAATTATTAAAGACGCAGACCGTTAGTGTACGTTCAACAATGCAAAGGCTGGAAGCCAACATCTTTGAAAAAATAGCCGAGGATAAAGACCCGGTTTGTTTTCTTTAATTTTTCTATTTATCTGGCAAAAATTCCGAAAGTACAGTCCACATTCATTTCAAACCTTGCATGATAAAGTCAGACGGCAATCACGAAACTAAGTATTAAATGGCGCCAACAGTGTTCGATTTCGTTGGATGTAACATTCACATATCTTGCTGATCTTTTTTAATTCTTACATGGCTGCATCCTAGAGTGAATGTCAAGAACACCGAAGGGATGAAGGTTTCAGGATTTGCACTACTGTCCACCGCTGTCGACAGTTTAGTCAATATTTCCCATACAGTGAGTAACACATGCTGTTCTGGAGTCTAACGCGGTCATAAGTCTGTACTTCTCAAAATGTTTACTGTTTTGATAGGAATTCAGAGAATTGCAAAACACGCATATACAGGAACCCGGGACATACAGGAACCCGCGACAATAGGAATATATTTTGGCAAAGACAGGGATTGTACCTTAGAGAAAATGTTAAAAAGGAAAGACGTTTGCTAGAAAAGAGCATACCGAATTCCTCCGGAGAAACTGACGCCATTCACGCAACATATGATATCCCTATGGTAAGAAAGTTATAAATAAAGTTCATATACAATTCTTCCTGGTTCGAACTTTAGGCTTGTTGTGTATCATGAATGTAATCGTTGCTCTATCAATATTACTCATTAGCCAGTCGAATTCGGGATGATGCCCTCAATGAGACTGATATTGAAGAAATCCACAATCCAACAACAACCATATCAGATGAAGGTTGCGTAAGCTTGCACGTTCTCGAAAACAAGTTGAGCATAAAGTTAGAAGGTATACAGAATCAGTTGAGGATTACGATTTGAGTATTTGGTCAGCATATTAAAATTTTTGAAACCTTCGCAACTGCCTATGTTCCACAGTGTATCCTTGACTATTTTCAAATAGAAACTTATACCAAACACAAAGTCGAGATATAACGACCTAACTCCAAGAAAAAGAAAAACAATTGCTAGGGTATAGATAAAAAATAGTGTAAAGAAGCAGCGTAGCAGCGTCGACGCCATATAATATTTACAAAGCGAACGACTGCATACACCCTCAGCCGTTCAAGCATTAAATTTTATTCGGCGAACGTGAAACACATACGGCAAAGCTGAATTAGCCATATGATGATGCATTTGGTACAATGATTTTCACCCACAAACATTTGTCAGGTCCTGACATCCCTTCATTCGGTAATTTGTTGATGCTTATTACAGCTACTTCATATAAGCCTGTCCTAAATAGTTAAATGTTTGTGGGTTCAAGTGTGATTGTTGTTATAGTCTTCGGTACGGTAGCTATACAGTTCTGGTACAGTATTTGGGAATAAAATAATTATATAAAATGACTTCCAAAAAGAAATTGAAAATAGATCCGGCTTTGCTTCGCCAAAAATTCAGCGATGCTGTATGCGAAGAGAAGAAATTAGAAGACAAAATTTCGCAAATTTCTTTGCTGAAACTCGTGCCAACAGCGAATGAAAGATCAATAGAATCTTATTTAGTATGCCGTTTCGGAATGAGAAAAGTAGCCGAGGTATCTTTGATTCTTTCATCAACAACATTTTTGCCTCAAAGCGTGGCTATTGCTAAAATTATCGGCGTTCTTGGCACAGAAGAAGAAGAAACTAACAATCTGTTTCACTTGTTTGAAAAAGTCAGTTCTGCAGTCAATAACAGCGAAAACAAAGGAGGAAAAATCCTAGCGTCTCCAACTTCAGTTTGCCTACATTGTAAACAGCAGTTGGTTTTAAATCACGCTCCAACAAAAGTGAGAGTATACGGTTTGAAAGGATATACTGACGGGGAAAAATGGTCTCTTCGCTGTAACGCTTGCAAGTTGACGTATAATTACAGCAAATACGGTAACCGGGATGGCTGGAAATTGTACCATAGCGAAAGAACTCTCGTTGAATCTTCTGATTGCTGTTTTGTGGAACGTGAGGTTTTTAACTGGATGGCTTCGTTAAGGTATGGCAGAGTTATTACAGTTTATGATATAATAATATGGATAAGTGGCAAAAATATGAAATATGTATTTTTTAATTGTATAATGATTGTGGTCTAATTTTCTTTCTTGAATGACTGGAATGGATTGCAAAATTATTCGGCAGGGGTAGCAATTTAATTCTTAAAACAGGATATCTTACTTTTACTTCAGCAACCATGCGTGGACTTCATTCAGCGCGTTTGCTGAATGCTACAACGAAATATACAACCCTTCGAAAGGTATAAAAAGAAAATCTGAAGTATCATTATGCGCGTTTGTATAATTAATGTTCATTATAAACACAATAAAATACTACATTTGGTCCACTAGACCACTACGTGTACCCAGTTATATTTTCATTACAAGGGCAAAGCAATATAAAATACAGTGTTTATTTGTTTGTTTTATCCAACAGACTTAACAGAGAAAGAAGTTGCTGCTGCTTTCTGGAATGGAGAAGTGGAACTTGATGGCAGAGAAATGAGCGTTCTAGATTTTTTTGGATTGATGAAAGTAGATAGTGATAGAGAAAAGGTTATGGAAAGAATAGAGAGCATAAGGTGATCTAAGAAGTGTTGTTTTTAAATTGGATTTAACATACTGATATAATAAATAATCAGGTTATACTATGGAACTATTCTAAGTTTTTAATATTTGACTTAATTAGGTCCAATACTGTGTATTCCCATCCTCCCGAAGATTGTGCTGAAGGTTGTAAAAATAGAGGTACATATACATATAGCTTTAATAAGGTATCATTCCCTTGAACATACTGTTACTTGCTAGATAGTTATATCTTGGTTTAATGGAGAAGTAACACAAGTGTAGTTAAATTGGGATAGTGAAGGACTTGATTTTTGTTAAAACACAGGGTGTGGAAGAATTTGGGTAACTGATGGCATATGGAAATTGACATTTCTCATTGTATGATGCAAAAAAAGGTAGATTGAAACCCAATAGCTCAATTTTACCTTCATTACATGTTCAATTATATAGAAGTATTGTTTATCTAGAATGTATAGGATTAAAAATACTCATTAACTGAATAATTTTGATTTCTAACCATAATAATTACATTGTATGTTTGTATGGTGTCAGGACTTGTCAGGGGTGTCAGGACTTGTCAGGGGTGTCAGGACTTGTCAGGGGTGTCAGGACTTGTCAGGGGTGTCAGGACTTGTTAGGAGTGTCAGGACTTGTCAGGGGTGTCAGGACTTGTCAGGAGTGTCAGGACTTGTCAGGGGTGTCAGGACTTGTCAGGACTTGTCAGGCGTGTCAGGACTTGTCAGCCCTTTATGAATTTAAATTATTGCAATAAGCTCTAGAATTGATTAGTCTCAAATAGTTTATACTATATTGTTTGTTATTTTTAACTTTTAGTACTCTGGTACTAAAAACATGAAAGTCCTTTTACTATTGTCAGGATGTCAGGTCCTGACAAAACTTTTACACTCTTTATACGAATATCAAATGTTGCATGGTATCGAATTAGCTGCTTTTCTAAATACATCAGAAATAGCCTATTGCTTTCTTACCTTACTGCTGAACATCACAAGTTTTACGCAGAACGTTTGCAATTTAGCGAAATTGCCGCACACTTGAAGATAGTCGAGTTAAAACACAAACTTTGTTAGCGGTTTGGCGTTTGCCGTACACGTCAAGCTAAAGGTATCTAATTTCCATAGCGCGATAAACGTGAACAATCAATCAATACACGCGTATGGGCAGCAGTTAAATTTAATATAGCTTTATAGAACTGTTTTGTTCTTCTAAAGATTAGCCATAATATTTTGCATGCTACACCTGTAAAGGAGCCCAGTCTGATGAAAATAAATGAATAATAACACACCTTGAATGGTTTAAAGACGTTGTGGTTTATAAATTCGTAACCTTTGACTTTGTTCCCAGCGCTTAGTATGACTTGCCAGATTGTCCGAACTTTTCTCCTTAAATTCGTTTAGTAACATATTTGAACCGTCCACATTAGGCGCACTT